CGTCTATTTATTTGAGATATTTTTAGGTTATTTCTTTGGTTCTTCTGAGATAAACTGGGATGACGCTAAGTCCGAGTGTGAGACGAGAGGAATGCAGCTTGTGTCTTTGAAGAATGAAAACCAGTATTTTGCAGCTAAAACCTACTTAGAAACCAAAAGGTGAGGACAATATATTTTTATGGTTTTATCTTTGATTGTGTAATTACCTTCTGCATAGTAAGGTAAGCATATTAAATGAAAATGATATTTAGAGTCATACTTATTTTCAAAATTAATTTGCTCACCAAAATATTAACTGTTAAGGAGGAACTCCAGACGTACTGCACTACGGCATATTCTAGGAGTGGTGTAAATCAGACGTGGATCCTCAAAAACTTTAAAAAACTTTTAGAAAATTTAAAATCCCAAAATTTTTCAAAAGATTATAAATTCTAAACGTACGATTTTTTCTACACTTTATACAACGATTCCTCACGGTAAATTAAAAACTAGGCTTTTTAATATCATAGACAACTGCTTCTTCAATAAAAAGGAACTCAGAAATATTCACATCTTGTGACTGGTCATTAACAAAATTATTTTGCTCAAAATCACTGATTCTATACACAAGTACTCTGAAATTGATATTAAAAATATGCTAGAATTCCTCATTGACAACATTTATGCAGTCAAGGTGACCATATCTTCCAACAAACTGCGAGAACTACTTGTGCTCCTTTACCAGCGAACCTGTTTTTATATTCCTTTGAAGCATTTCCCCCAGAAAAACGTCTACATGAGAGGAAGAAAACAATTGCCGTAGCATTCAACTCGACATTTAAATATATCGACGACGTATTATCAATTAACAATAGTTAATTCCATTTATACATTAACTTGATTTATCGCAGTGAATTTGAAATAAAAGACACAACAGAGTCTGTCGCATCTGCTTTATATTTGGATGTTTTACTGACTATGGACGACAAAGACCAACTAAAAACTAAATGTATGATAAACGAAAGATAACTTCAGCTTTTCCACCGTCAATTTCCTTTATTTATGTAGTATTATTCCACTTACCTGCATGTGGTGTTTATGTCTCCCACCTTATTCGGTACTCAAGTGCACGCTCTGAGTATGATTAATTTCTTAAAGCGAGGCAGGCTACTCAAACATAAGTTGACGTTACAGGGATTTCAACAACCTCATTAAAAGTCAGCATTTCGTAATGACCTTGTTAGCAAATATAACCTATCACTAAGTCATATTTTGGTTGACTTGTTTAATACCAATTCTAAGACCTTTGTTTTATACTAAGTTTGACTACGGAATGTTCCGTCTATTTGATCAATACATAGGGATCACGGCGGGTGTGACCGATCAAAAGGGGTTGCTTACTCCTCCTAGCACCTGTTCCCACCTCTGGAATTTCTAGGGGTCCGTGTTTTATGCCCTGTTCACAGTTTGTATTGTTTGAAGTTTATGAGATCGATCACTGTTCGTTTTCTTTACCTTTTTTATTGAGCAAACATAATGAAGCGCTGATTTTTTAAGTTGGAATATCAATTTTTTATCTGTATTTGTACAAAAAAATGCATTCATCTGCAAAGTTATCTTTCTTTGAAATATTTTTGTTTTACATATGGTACAAGATAAATCATTGTAGTTTTTAAATTGATTATAAAGAGATAAAGCAGTCCTGGATATTGATAACTCAACCTGAAACGATTACTTAAAAAAAATAAATATTTAATTTAAAAAAACCTCAAAATAAATCTTGGATTGTTGTCTTTTCGAACAACAATTTTCATTGCATCAAAATAAAATCAAAGTTATTCAAAGTCTTAAAATAAAATATATGGAGATAACGAACAGTATTCAAGCTGAAAATTCCATTCAAACAAATACAAATCAGGAGCAGAGCAAACACGGACCTCTAAAACATCAGAGGTAGGATCAGGTGTCATGGAGGAGTGAACATACCCTGTCGACCGGTCACACCCGCCGTATTACTTGTAAAAAGTTAACATTTGTAATTTTGTACACTATAAAAGTACATGAATAAATCATTTTAGAAGACTCGAAATTTCTTAAATCTAGTCTTAGATATAAATGTTTATCATATGTTTCACATGTCTGTTTCGTACGTCACATGCCCACTGTACATTGCACAAGGGATATATCATTTTCATACCCAAGGTTGTGAAGTCACCATATTTTGAGCCATCTTTAAAAAATTGTTTGGTTGTCCTCTCCCGACCGACTGGCTAAAAATGGCCCGACTCAAAACTTTTCAACCTCCAGGAAGCAATTATTTTTTTTATGTGCTATGGAAAACAGAATTCAAAAATTAGCATTGAAATTGAAATTTTCTGAGAGAAAAAAATTTCTCACCCACCTAATGACCCAATATTTTCAGAGCAAGTCCGGGGAGGGCAAACAAACATTATTCTAAAGTTGGCTTTGATTGAATTTGATTGTCAAATATTGTAGATTTACATATGTGATAGGCATATGAAGAACATGTGATAAAAAGAAACTCTCATGGTTTGTGGTTTGATATTATTGTTATTGGACTTATTATATGTTTTTATCCCCTCATCATGGGCTCAGGGATATAAACACATAACTTGCTGGATAAAATATCATACAAAACCAAGAACCAAGAGAGATCCTATATTTATTAGCATGATATGAAATTGAAAGTGATCTTTGATGTCTTGGGCCATCTTTAAAAAATTGTTTGTTTGCCGTCTCCCGACCGACTGGCTAAAATGCCCCAACCCAAAACATTTTTTAATCCTGAGGAAACGCTATTATCCCATCGACAATAATGTTGAAATTTTCTGAGAAAAAAATCCCACCTACCTACCAACCCATTTTTTTTTTACCCTGAGTCGGGAGATGGCAAGCAAACATTATTTTAAAGATGGCCTGGTAATGATACTTTTTCTTAACGATGAAGCTTTTAACACTCTGTATTAAATAACAATTAAAGTAAATATACATAAAAAAAAGTACCGAATAAGTGTAAAGAATATGCTGTTTTCTCAGCGTGCCAAGATACGGAATCAGGACAACTCGCCCCCAAGACAAGTCGCCCCCAACACTATGAAAGACAGCTCGCCCCCAATTTAGGACAAATCGCATCCACTCAAGACAACTCGCCCCCATTATAGAGAAAACTCGCCCCCATTATTTTTTCTTGTGAATTGCAAGGGAAAAAAATAACTGTTATTCAATTATGTTTATTTTATATGCAAATTTAAATTATAATCAATATTTACGATTGTAATAGATAGTAAATTTTTTTTTATGCATTTAGATCATATTTTTGTATAAAAACACAATGTATGCATAAAAGATTTATCATAATATCCATGCTTTCTTAAATTTTATTCTTATGAAATAGAGTGAAAAAATGCATTTTGATTTATCATTTTTTAAATTTATATTTATAAAATATGTCTATTTTAAAAGAGCACATTGTCCTCAGTGTTAAAACATCTAAATTATTTAATGACGAAATTAACGTTTAAACTGACGGCTTTAAGAAACTTATGATAATGATTATTACTAATTAAATGAAGACATCAGACAAAAAATTTAATGACAACCCCAAGCTAACAATTAATTTGGATACTTCAAAGTGACGACTAATTGGAACATGCAAGCTCCAAAAATTACGTATATTTAGTTGTTTAAAAAAATTGGCGTGCCGTATCTAAGCTCCGAAGCAGCTTCAACGTGATGAAGAATTAAAGCATGCAAGCTGAAAATTACATATATTCAGTTTTATTTGTGATGAAAATGTAAACAAATGTGTGAATTTAGTGAAGATATATCAAAAAAGTGCCAGTAGCGACAATAGATATTAGTGTTAAATTATTTGTGTTGTGTTTTATTTTCAATAAAATTGAGAAATTTTATTTTCAGTTGTTTGTTTTAACTTTCTAGGAACATTTTTAAATTCAAATATCTATATAATATATTTACTATTTGTTGGTTTCTTAAACTGGGGGCGAGTTGTCTTAAATGGGGGCGAGCTGTCCTGAATTGGGGGCGAGTTGTCCTGAATAGGGGCGAGTTGTCTTGGGGGCGACCTGTCTTGGGGGCGAGTTGTCCAGCATTCCAAGATACCTATAATTTTTTATCCTATTATATATTTGTTGATAAATTTTCAAATAGAAAATGCATAGTGGGTGCTTTCATTTGCGTTTCTTAAAAGTATATTTTTGGTTGAATAATTTTCCCTACATAATATGATTAACTATAATGATTAACTAAAAAAAATACAATGGATAAATACAATTTACATTGAAAATTCAGACATTTTCGTGAGCATTTCAGTTACTCAGTTTGTGATTTTCAGAACATGAGGATCGAACTACCGTAAAGGAAGAAGTTGTAAATGTTTTAGATCAAATGTCTTTAAAACTAACAAAATAACTGGCAAAAGAAAATAGTCGCCAATGTTTGCGTTTTATATAGGTTTTGAATTTTTTAAACAATGGTGTTCTAAGTACTAAATTCTTTTTGGGAATTTATCTCTCTTACCAGAGCGTCAGCACACCCTAAAATGACTAACACTGCATCTTTGATTTTTTTTCAAAGTAAAAAACGTTATCAAAAAAGTAAATTTCTCAAAATTTCTGGATGAAATATTGAGATAACGGAGCAGAATAAACGCAGTCCTCTAAAAATATCAGATGGAATCAGATGGCATGGACTATTGCAATTCCGAACAATCCTGTAATTTAATCCTTAATTACTGACTTTAATTTTTTATATGTTCCAGCTTGAATCAAGGTGTGTGGATAGGACTCCGGACGTCGTCTACAGCGACACCCTATGTGTATAGATGGATGGACGGAGAAGAAGCTGTTTACTTTAAATGGACTTGGGGTGAACCGAATCATCAGGATACTTCCCAGTGTATCAGACTTTTTCAATATAACTTGTACTTTGGAACCCTGGAGTGTACAACAAAAAGACATTTTCTGTGTGAAGGTTCAACTATGTGTGTGTGTGTGTGTGTGTCTATCCGTCTCTCTCTCTCTTTCTGTTTTTTTTTCTCTCTCTCTATCTCTGTATATGTGTAACATTTTTAGAATCATTCGTCTTTCAATTAACACCTGGACATTTTCAGACCCAGCCATCCAAGGAGCATGGTCGTCATGGGGCACGTGGTCCGATTGTAGCGCCACCTGTGGAAACGGAACCCAGACCCGCACCCGGTCTTGTGATTCTCCCCGCCCATCTAATGGAGGGGCATATTGTACAGGCTCAGAAAATGAGGAGTATTCATGTAATTTAGGATTTTGTCCAGGTATTTATTTAGAATAATTATCCCATTGGTTTGATTCCTTCGTTCATAACCTTTCAGACTCTCTTTGTTTCTCTCTGTGTGTGTCTGTGTGTATGTCTGTCTCTCTTTTTCTTCGTGTGCATGTGTGTTATAATTAACACCTGGACATTTTCAGACCCAGTCATCCAAGGAGCATGGTCGTCATGGGGCACGTGGTCTGCATGTAGCGCCACCTGTGGAAACGGAACCCAGACCCGCACCCGGTCTTGTGATTCTCCTAGCCCTTCTAATGGAGGGGCATATTGTACAGGCTCAGAAAATGAGGAGTATTCATGTAATTTAGGATTTTGTCCAGGTATTTATTCAGAAGAAAATGTTAACATTGTTTTAGTTCCTTTCTTCAAAATCAGTGCCCTACTGTGTTATTTCTGTCAGTGAATGGTTCTTGGTCGAAGTGGGGAGATTGGTCAGTCTGTACCATGAGTCTCTGCAGTGTGACAAATCGAACACGTTCCAGGTCATGTGACTCACCAGCGCCTACATATGGCGGACGTTACTGTGAGGGGGATGGACAAGATACAGAAAGCTGTGAAGGTCAAATCTGTCCAACAGGGGAACGTAAGTCACGTGATATTTGATCTCTCATCCTCAGAAATTCTATGAAAAATGTGATTTTTTAATAATCATTATTCTGTGTGGCAAGTGGTTTTTCCTTTTGTTAATAGATTAATAGGTTAGCATTAAGGGACATATACGATTTGTCATTAAAAAAGGTAATGTAAACTTTTTTCTGTCAAGATTTTTGAAATTCTGCATACTCTTTGTAGGCTTGATGTGTGCAGAATTTCCTGACAACAAAATCACATCATCGGCTTTAGAAGAAAAACTAACAGAAATATCAAAAGTATTGAAAGTAAACAAAACAAATCTGTCATCACAAAAGCGAAAAAGAGCGTGTGCAGAGGATCCAAGGCCCACGTCGATGTACATAGGATATGTGGGTGTTATATTCATAGGCTGCTTCCTTGGAATAATTGTCTTTGTTGATTGTTCATCTTTCATTGTTTGGGCTTTGAAAAAACGTAGCTAAGAAATTTACAAACATGGTTTAAGTCCCTTCAATTTGATATTGGAAATATTCCTTAGACTTAAGCTTTCATGTGACTTCTACTGTGACATTTCCAGGACGACAGTTGTTGTGAGTTTCTATCGTAGTTAGGAATAACATTGTAAATGTGTGATATATCTCCTGAGAAGATTCTGATCTTGTCAGACAAATTTTTTTCTGGTTTTGTATACTGTGCACGAAAGCCAGAAAGGCTCATTTTTTGAAAAGATAAAAAAAAAATTAAACTCGTTTTAACGAGATAATTATCTCGTGATAACGAGTTAATTATTTTTATCTTCTCAAAATGAGCCTATCCGGCTTTCGTAATTATGAACTCATTTACTTTAAAATGTTAAAATATGCTACAACTTTAGGAAAGCTGATTGCCGCCCTTTTTTAATTATTTTAAATAGATGTACATTGTAATTTAAATATAAGATTTAAACTTCTTGAAAATAATTAAGGCTATATTATATCAAATTAAGTTTAATCAAAGAAATGTGATGTTGATACACAATTTAAGGAAGCTCTTAACACTTAAAACTGAAGAGTTTAAATTTCATTTACTAGTTTCTTATGCATTTTAAGGATAAAAGGATAATTTATAAATTTGAACAAGTAATGTTGAAGCGACTATCACCCATAACCATGTTTACAAGGTTTCGCTTTTCTTGGAGTTGCATTAGCTGAATTGTATTTATGAATATGAACATGTATCGTAGAAAGTACATCAAGTACATAGATTACAATGCTTTGTTTTTATAAAACAGGTGACTCAGAAATATAGAAAATAGGCCAGGCGCAAAAATAATTTAATAGAAAAAAGTCATTTAGAAACGACACTGGTGAAAGGAATAACTGATACACGAGAGTTGTCCTATTCAAAATCACACGAGGGTAGAACACGGTACACTTTAAAATCTACATATATAAGTGACACCTGAATTTTAGAAACTTGATCTTTAATCAGTGTATATTGTGTTGTGATATTTATTTTATTAACATGACAGTACAGAGCGTTATGGCCGATCAAGGTATATATACGTTTTAAGATTGTCTTATTTTATTGGTTTCAATGTTCGTGCTAAAACCTTTTCCGAAAAATCTTGAACTACTATTTATTTTTTAGCGACAATTTTTAATCCTTTGCAGATTATTTTCATAAACAGACCTCATACAATGAGAATAAAACAGTGATATATACATAAGTCCATCATTTCTTGTTATTTGTCAGAAGTATTGCCTACCGTGGATATGTTTTTATGTCTCCTATTTTTTTATCATGTCCATCTGCAAAACAAAGTAATTGCTTGGCGTATATACTTACAACAAACTGAAAACATTATATATCTGTTAGTAAGAGCTGTATTCAGTACTCAAGTGATATAATAATTTAAAGTAAAATAAATTTGTCAAAATTTTCTCTTCTCTTCAGAAGATTCTGGCAAGTTCTATGCATTATAAAGAATCCCTCCGTTGTGGTCTTTTCCTGAAAACAAAGTCAGCTTGGAAATTGCCCTTTAAAATCTTTATAAAATAAAAGACATTTAGGTTACAACAAGAATATAATAATTTTGTTATAAAGGCTGGGGTTAGTTAGTTAGTGATCATTGTATCATTTTTTTTTTACTAGAAAGATTAACGGGGGCTGAATCAGCCTAAACATAATTAAAAGTAAGTTCCAATGGTCACTGAAAGTAATTTACTTAAGGAAAGATAATAACCTTTTTTTTTTTTTTTTTTTTTTTATCAAAAATCATTAAAATATCAATCTATGAGTTTTATAAAATTCTATTTTTTCATTTTAAATTTCTCAATAATGCCCCATACAGTGACACACACACACACATATATATATATATATATATATATATATATATATATATATATATATATATATATATATATATGTATTTTTTAAGAAATAAGGTATCATTTTTAAACATCTATCGGGCTATAAATACGGGTTGGTCACGAGATCAAATTCCATAAAGCCCGAAATAAAAGAAAACATTTGCAAATGTAAATATAGATATATATATAAATTTATAAGGTTTATGACAATTATGAAGGAATTTGAATTTCATGCAAAGTCTTTTTAGAGATAATTAGATATTTACATCATTTACAACCAAAAAAGTCCAAAAATAAATAATAATATATCCAACAAATTTTTGTTTGTAGCGTTTTCTTCGTCATGTTTGACGTAAATCACAGGACTAAAGACAACAAAAATATGTTGACCATTTGATTTAAACTCTCTCTCAATATCTGAAACTTAATTAAACCAAATACTTGGCTTAGATCTATTGTTAGAGAATCAGGTATTTAAACTTTTCATTTAGAGATCAAATCGTTGTTTTTGGAACACATAAGAGCTATACGTAATATTGATCAGAGTGTAGGTCACTTAGCACTGTCTAATAATGGTACTGGTATTTCAATACAGTATAAGTACAAACCACTGATGTCTGTAAACAAGTATCTATATTGGTAAACTTTCATAATTCACGATCGGAAACAGCAGGCGAGAAGTCTCACATTTTGACCTCAGAAAACCTTGTAAAAACACTCACCTGAAGTCTGATGTAAGGCTTAGAACACTGTGTAGAGTATAATCGATTCATGATCTCCAGTTAAATCCCTAATTAAACTGCTTCTTAAATTAGGCATGATCGTAAGAGAACGTGATTGCTCATGCATATGGATTTACTTTTAAAGTTTGACTTATAACCCATATCTATGAATGGTGGAGTGCCAAAAAAAAAAAGCCCAAAACAAAACAAAACAAAAAAAACAAGACTGTTTAATGTTTTAAAACAAGATGTGATTGTGAAACACTGTTGCCCCCGTATGGCAGCTTATGGCGAAGGTTAAAGTTTCTCAAATGCAAGTCAAATCCAGGCCAAAAGATAAAAAATGTTGGTACCCAAAGAAAGGTCTTGTCTCGAGGAATATACCTGTGAAATTTGAAAGCCCTAGCTGCAACTGTTCAAAAGTTATGGCCAAGGTTAAAGTTTTTTGAAAGTAAGTAAAACGTCAAGTTCAAGGTCAAAGTTGTTGGTATCCAAAGGAAGGTCTTGTCACAAAGATTACATATGTGAAGTATGAAAGCCCTTGCACCAACCATTCAAAAGTTATGGCCAAGGTTAAAGTTTTTCGAAAGTAGGTCAAACTCCTATGCCAAGGTCAAAGGTTCAAAGTGGTTGGTATCCAAAGGAAGACCTTGACACAAGAATTACATATGTGAAGTATGAAAGCCCTAGCACCAACCATTCAAAAGTTATGGCCAAGGTTCAAGTTTTTCAAAAGAAGGTCAAACTCCTATGTCAAAGTCAAAGGGTCAAAGTGGTTGGTATCCAAAGGAAGGTCTTGTCACAAAGATTACATATGTGAAGTATGAAAGCCCTAGCACCAACCATTCAAAAGTTATGGCCAAGGTTAAAGTTTTTCAAAGGTAGGTCAAACTCCTAGGTCAAGATCAAAAGGTCAAAGTGGTTGGTATCCAAAGGAAGGCCTTGTCACCAGGATTACATATGTGAAGTATGAAAGCCCTAGCACCAACCATTCAAAAGTTATGGCCAAGGTTCAAGTTTTTCAAAAGAAGGTCAAACTCCTATGTCAAAGTCAAAGGGTCAAAGTGGTTGGTATCCAAAGGAAGGTCTTGTCACAAAGATTACATATGTGAAGTATGAAAGCCCTAGCACCAACCATTCAAAAGTTATGGCCAAGGTTAAAGTTTTTCAAAGGTAGGTCAAACTCCTAGGTCAAGATCAAAAGGTCAAAGTGGTTGGTATCCAAAGGAAGGCCTTGTCACCAGGATTACATATGTGAAGTATGAAAGCCCTAGCTCCAACCGTTCAAAAGTTATGGCCAAGGTTAAAGTTTTTCAAAAGTAGGTCAAACTCCTAGGTCAAGGTCAAAAGATCAAAGAGGTTGATATCCAGAGGAAGGTCTTGTCACAAGGAATACACATGTGAAGTTTGAAACCCTAAGCACCAACTGTTCAAAAGTTATGCCAAGGTTAAAGTTTTTCAAAAGTAGGTCAAACTCCAAGGTCAAGGTCAAAAGGTTAAAGTTGTTGGTATCCAAAGGAAGGCCTTGTCACAAAGAATATACATATGTGAAGTTTGAAACCCCAAGCACCAACTGTTCAGAAGTTATGGCCAAGGTTAAAGTCTCATAAAATTTTGCAAAAGTGGGTCGAACTCCAATTTCAAGGTCAAAAGGTCAAATATGATGGTATTCAAAGAAAGGTCATGTCAAAAGTAATACACCTGTGAAATATGAAAGTCATAGCTCCAAAAAAGATATGGGCAAGGTTAAAGTTGACAAGAAACAAGCAGACAAATAGACAGACAGACAGGACAAAAACAATATACCCCTGGGTTCTTTAGATCGAGGGGCATAACAATATATCCCCGGGATCTTTCGATCCAGGGGCATAAAAAGACTAAATCGTTTAAGAAATTGGGAATTATATAAATCATGAAAGGTATTCCGAAAAGAAAACATTGATTTGACAAATGTATACACACGTCGTTTGCTCTAGTGAACTATAAGAAACTCCCCCTTCTCCGAGGTCATTGTAAAGTAGTAAATTAATACCAGGCTTAGATTTCTAATGCTTCTAAATATAACATTTCTCTCGTAACCCACATGTAAAACAATAAGTTGTATTTAGGTCAGATTATGTATAATCTAACTGGATTACAGAGAATTTTATATAAATCATACAATTGCGACACGGGAAAGCAGAAAGCCGGTTACAATCGGTAAGATGTTTTTATTCCCCCCTTCAGATTTTTATTGATTAATCTTCTGATATCAAATCGTATTGTCATTTTAACACCATGGTGGGAAAATATTTATATTTCAGTCAGCTTTGTTTATTTAATTAAATATCTTTGTATGCTTCATTTTAAATTTAAAAAAAATGATAAAAAAAAATAATAAGAAACTTTTATTTTTATTACAACAAAAAATTCTAGACAAAAAAGATAATTCAATTGGAATTGTTCTAGTTAATTAATTTACAGACATATTCATCTTCGCAATATTTTTGTGTGTTGTATATTTTATAAATTGTAAAATAAAAATGGTTAAGAATTATCGCAGTATAATTACTTGTGAATTCTATTCAACTTGTTCAGGGATATTTTTGCTTTAAAGGTATAAACATTTTTAATTATTTTGGGAGCGAAATACTTCATACTTTTGTTTAACATCTTAAAACAAACTTTGATTTTAACTATTGCCGAGAATTTCAACTTTAATTGTTTGAAATTAACCTCCGTAACGATTAACTTCCGTAACGATATTTTTACCGAAATTGAATTTAACATGGGATTCATGCCATACTTCAAGAATCATACTTCAGCGTTCTATACTGAACATCAGGGGAAAAAAATGGTCAAATTCAGCTCTATTTAAAAAATAATAAGACTTGTTCAAGCATTAACTTCCGTAACTAAAATCAATGGTAAATTGAAATTCATGTAAAAAGTTACCTATACCAGATTCGTGGAAAATTCTTTTTTTTCAAGTTCACTGATAAGTCCTTTGGAGAATTATGGTGTTAAATTCGGTATTTGAAACTATAATTTTTTCATGTTTTATACCCTGAATTGGTCCTTTTATCGTAGAATGAATTTATTATGTTTTTCTGTGTTTATTTCATTTTAGCTGTAAATATGTTTGATATAATTCATATGTTGGGAAAGGGTGTATAAAGTTTTTAGAAATTTATTGCCATAAATGAAAGTCAATGTAATATTGTTTAAATACGTGCTGAAGTTCCTTATAATTTTCCTTTTTAGACGAAAATATGGATGTTCATTTTCCACATCTAGTCTCATCTCCGGTCAAACGGGTCATATCAACGATACCCGAGGGCTCCGAAAAGACACCAGACCTAGAGGGTGTTGTTTCCCGCCTCAGTCGAAATGATTCCCGCGCATTGATGTCACGTGCTTTGTCCCGAAACTTGACCCGGGCGTCCTTCAAAAATTTGGCCTTGGTAGGAGGTCGTACCTCAAGAACTTTTGTAGTGACAGATTCGGCAATCAAGACTCCGTTTGACCCAGAAGATGAGTATGATTTCGACTTCGAAAGTGATGATGGTACGGAACTAAATTACTTCATTTCTGTTCATATAAGTATTTTCTTATCATGCTTAATGTACAGAAAGTATCTGAAGACCAAAAAGTGGTATTTAAAGTGGTAAACTAGAATTAACAATATGTGTTTGTGAAACACTATGCCCCCGATGGTAACAGATGTAGACTACAGTGCAATAGTTATGGCCAATGTTAAAGTTTTTCAAATGTAGGTCAAAGGTCACAGTTGAGGTCACATGATCAAAAATTTCTGTACCAATGGAAAGGTCTTGTCATAATGAACACTCATGTCAAATATTAAAGCCTTACCCTTGACAGAGAAATAGTTATGGGCTAGGTTAAAGTTGACAACAGACAGACAGACAGGACAAAAACAATATACCCCCGGGATCTTTCGATCCAGGGGCTTAAAATTACGAAAAAAGGAAGTTAGTATATAAGACAGAAAATCTTCCGTAAGGAGGGCGAGGAGAAAAGAAGGCTGAATTAAAGCTAGAAGGGATACGTTAAAATGGATGATTAGAACATTTGGAGGATAATGTAAGGTCAGGCATAGTAAACTGGGAAAGAGCTTATATAAGAAATTGGTTTTCAAAGATTCAAAGCAGAGACAGGTTAGATTGGAATAAAATTACCAAACAAGTCTCAAATTTATAACCTCTTAGAATATATAAATTAAATTCATATCATTGCACAATAAGATTTGGTCTGAAAATATTTCTGATTACAGAATAATAATTTCTATTTATTCATGAAACATTTGATAGTTTGATTCAGTGCTTTCTTTATTGTGTAACAAATGTTGAGCATATATTTGACACTCCGATCCAATCGAGGGAATTCTCCACCATTAATTATATGTGATATAAACACATACGTAGTTATTGTTGTACTTCCACGTCACCGAAGCAGTTTTATATTGTTGCTCTTTAAACGATCTCAAAAAGACAGAACAAAACAAGATGAAAAATATATTATAAATCTGTGTAAAGAAAATCACATTGAAAGCATAACTAAAGACAGGATTAAATGGTAAACTGCTGGGGTCATATTCTCTAACATGACAATGATTAGATTATTAAAGATCATGGCGTCAATGAAATAATCAATTTCCTACTTTGTTGATTTACCCGCTAAAGCTGGGATCTGTTATTACAATTCAAATGAAATCAGTGTTCCTCGGCCATATCGCCCCAGTCTTATGTTTTCAGAGGAGAGTTTAAGCTATAAGGAATGAATTCTTTATATCCATAGAGTTTTCATACTTAAAACGTTACGGATAAAAATGAGTGATGTTAAACTTAATGATAATTCAGAGGGTAAGTTTGTATAAAAAGACAATTATTTTATACACCACCAAGACTTTTTAAATTTTCTATATCAAGATTTAAGAAGGTTTTGTGCCAATTAAAGTATAATGATACAACATATTTACATTGTGTTACTGATACATTTGGTTTATTTAGAAGATGTCGATCGAACTCATCTACGTACGAATTACAGTTATTAAACATCACAATTGTAATTGTACAAAATTTCTAATTGCTTTTGGCAGAGGAATAAAAAAAAAGGTTTAATTTTTTTTAAGAGTTAAGAAGATTTTGTGCCAAATAAAGTTTAATGATACTGCATTTTGTGGTACTTGATACAGCTTTCAACATTTGGTCTGTACTCATTTACGTACAAATTACGCGTAGAGTTATTAAACATCACAATTATAATTGTACAATATTTCTCATTGCTTTCGACAGAGGAATCTTCACCACTAAGGTATGAATCCGTGGCGGACTTACACAAAAGGAACTACCGAAGCTTCTGTAATCAGCTCGGCGTGGTGCCGTGCTCAAGGATCCTACGAGAGCTCGGCAAAACGTCCGTGAACCTAACCAACCTTAACCTCTCAAACAAAGAACTCAAGGCCGCTTTATTGACCTTCATAGTAAGCTCAAACAGATTAACATCATTATCATAAAGAAATAAAACAAAACGGGATACGAACGTTGAATCTTTATATTGGTGGTGAATTCACTGTTTTATCCTATTCGTTTAAAATAAATTATTAACGTACTTACGAAACAGAGACATGACATTTAGGAAAATTGTTACAGAAAATCTACAAATTTGATGACGATGAATATGATTCCGACGAGGTAAAGTCTGTTTTTGTGTCTTTGCATGCCTCTTTTGCTTCTGGTGATGGCTGCTAGCTCTCCGTGTACAGTTATTGCTTCTTATGTCAATAGGAGCTTGAAAAAAAAATCATTTGTGCACCTTAATAGTAGTAATCACATTTTTTCTTTTTCTTAGTATAGGTAGATTTTTTGTCATTCCATTTTCATTTTGTTTTATTTTCTATTGGAACAACCTGAAATGATATCCAAAGTTCACTTTTACAAGAAATTTGATATAAAGTTAATTTTGACTTTAATTGATTTTTCTTTCTTTAGAATGATAGCGAGATTTACGAGGTGAATATGTCTGGAAATAAACTGACTGTAAAAGAAATTGACTATCTCATAGAGCTACTGACTGTAAACAAAAGGATATCTAGCTTGGTAAGTGATATCATATAGAGCTACTGACTGTAAACAAGAGAGATATCTAGCTTTATAAGTGATATCTGAAAGAACTACTAAATAATGTAGACAAGAGCGGTTATCTAGCTTAGAAAATGATATTTGATATCTAGTTAACGACTTCTGAGAGGAGAATATCCTGCTTGGTAAGTGATAACAATAGAGGGCATTTCTTATAGTCTTTTAACTCTTCCTGCTTCCCAGAACACAAAAAGCAATATAAAAATAGTTTCATGCATTATATATGCTAATGATCCATTTAAAGAGGTCTTAAAGATCTGTGCGATGTCCAATGGATGTCAAATAAATGTTCCACCAACGGAGAGCTGAATCTTTGCAATGTTCCAGTACATGACTTTAATAAACAAACACAACACGATTAAAAATCAACATTTAATATAAAAGTTAATCCTCATATTTTTTGACCAGGCAGTTGTGTTTAAAGATTTGGAATAAAGAAAAACAAGTTTAAAATTTAAATCGTTGATATCTTTTTGATCATGACTTTAAGCGTTCACTTTGCTGAAATAAACAAAGTACGCAGTCCATGATTTATCACCAGAATTCATTGATTTGTATTTGTGTGATAACTCCATGTTTATTTTAGATTTTATCTTCTTGTCATCTGTCCGGAGATCCACTGGTCAAACTGACGGAATTCCTCAGCACTTCAAACACTCTACAGAAACTCGACCTCAGTCGTAAGTCTGACTAATCTACAAAAAAACCGAATTTCTACCAAAACAAATCTTAAGTTTTCATAAACTGGACGTATATCTCACTAATCTAATGGAACTCAGCTTCAACCAGGATTAATCGCTAAAAACTATTCACTTTCGGAAACAAAGTGTTGGCGTATATGGTGACTTTTGCCGAATGCCTCGTAATCGGCCTCAACCAATCACCAAAGTTTGACAAATCTTAAAAAGCTGAAGATTATGGGCGAACATGGCGAGCAAAATACTTATTGTGCGACAAATAGGAAAATGAAAAATTTAATCTCAATTATGACGAAATTTTCTTTGATATTTCATTTAAAATCACGTATACTTTATGTAAAATCTCCACAATTTGCAACAAACTCACAAAGATTGAAAAGATACGTTTATGAAATTGCATGCATACACGAAATACGTAAAAAAAAAAGAAGATCATTTCATCGCACTATAACAATATCTTTTCCATATGAGTGGGTCTTCGCTCCATGTTTTGGAACGATTATACTCAGAGTATGCATAAACATATATGTATACATTCTTCGGTTAACAAAAACATGGAGAAAAGAACGACTATATACCTTAAAAATGCACTTTATGACACAACATTCGCATCTCTCCAAGAAATGTTTTAAAAGTTCAGTCACGGGTTATATCATAAACATGATTTTAATTGCCATTATCTACATGTATCATGAGCTGTATAGCGTAGTAGTTTAGCGAAAGCAAAATTGATACCCAGGATTCTTATTGCTTTGGTTCTAACCCCAAGAAAGTTTTTTTAATTATAGAATGATTGTTGCAGAAAGAATTTTTCTATTTTCTGCAGAAAAGCTTTGTCATAATTTTATACCTTTCAATAATAAGAACTTTTAATACTTAATTTACAATTTTAATATGACTTTTATACATTTGATGCAATAGGCGTTTTTGCATGTCTTGTCCGCCAATCTCTTTTGTTAAGATCCGCATAAACTCTCGTATCAAATCTGAAAAAAATATAAGAAAACTACTTCAAACACAGTAAGTGGACATATCTACTGAATTTGAACTCAGTCGTTATAGTCTATTAGATGATTCAATTATGTGAAACATAATACTGCAAGTCTAATATAGACTACCGATTTTAGTCATTAGAAAAAAACCCGACCAAGCTTACTTGAATCGTGAAATTAAGTCGGAAATAGGGAAAAGTTGGAATGCAGGGTAAATGCACTTTCTGAGTAACTTCTAATTTCTACACTCTTGAGACTATTACACAAATAGCGTTACACCAGATATACAATTTCATTCATAATTGTATTGAATATTTTACTGTTGTCTTTTTTCAGACAACGACTTGAAAGACAGAGATGCAAATTCTGTATGCAAAATTATCCAGGTAAATTTACGTGTAAGAAACCATGAGTAAGAAGATTATTCAGAGTATATAGTAACAATTATCATTGTACGTAAACCATTTCAAACCTATAAAATTTCAGGAAAATGAAAGTATCCTTGATTTGATCTTGGCTCATAATAACTTGGGAGACAGCGGGGTTGCCATCGGGATTGCTTTAGGTAAGCTGGGATTCCTTTAGAGAGTGAATACAATTAAATGTAAATAAAACAGGTGATTGATTACAATATTACATGATGATGAAATATATCTTACAGCCGAGAACGACATCCTTCAGTCTCTGGATCTCAGCTGGAATCACATACGAGTTGTCGGTGCTGTCGGTCTGGCTAATGGTGTTCGAGTGAGATACTCTTTCTCATCATTAGATTTAATGTACATCCTCGAAAAAAGGATGTTTTTGCAATATTCTTGTTAATCATTGGACATACACTGTTCTTTTTTTTTTTTATTTCGTAGACCAAATTGAAGCATGTCAAAAATCTGTTGACTTTTAATTAACAGAAAAATACCAATCTGAAAACGCTAATAGTAGCCTGGAATGGTTTTGGATTTGAGGGGAGTGTTGCCACTGGGAAACTCCTACAGAACAACACAACACTATTACATCTTGACTTAACGTGCAACAGAATTCATCCGCCGGCATTGTTTGAGATTATCAAAGGTCTGGAGAAGAACAAATCTCTTCGACTCCTCAATGTAGGTGACACTTTTAAATAATTTTAAGTTGGTGCTCAGATTAAACAATCAGTGTGTACAAATTATTAATGACTAGATAAGCGAACAGTTTAGTATTTATAGTAGATACGAATAAATATGCACAAGATCCTCTTTACGTCTTCCAGCTTTTACTCTTCGCAAAGATACATTGTTTTTAGCCTCAAATAGATTATGATAATTTATTTCTAATATGTACTCTTCTAATTTTTTTTATTGAATTTTCTTTTGAAAAACAAAAAAAAGTGGTAAAGGAAACAGTACAAGAATACGGAAGTATAACATTTATAAGTGTACGTGCATTGTCTCTAACGTGTACGACTTGTTTGGTTTAAACAGCTTTCACAGAATCCTATTACAGCCCCGATGACGTCAATTTTCTTAAATCGTCTGCTTCGAGCTAAACATTCTGCTCTACAAGAACTCGATCTTGCAGTAAGTTGACGTATAAAGCATAGTTCTCATGGCTTTAAACACCCCATCTTGTCATCTACTTTACAAAATTAATTGCAATTCTCATTCTTGTCGAATTGTGCTGAATACAGTAGAATGAAAAAACGTGAAGAAAACGAACAGTGATTATGAAGTTTAGTTGGTTGTTTACCATCAGTGTCTTTCTCTTGTAAAATATCCAAATATGAAATGCATGTGTCAGACAGAACAGCAAACATAGAAAGCTGCCTTCTCCTAAAGGTTTCCAAGTGTTCATATCAATGCTCATGTCAAAGGTGAATGTTAAATTATATTAAATAAACTTGTTTTAACTTTGAAAAACTCATGATCACATTTTCATATGTCGTTCTCTGTGAATGTGTATTTCGTAGGTCTTTCGAATTCTGATCATCAATATCTTGCTTCATAGTCATTTTATTAAATTCTTACATCAAGGATCATTTTCTTTATTATAGTTTCTTAATTTTCGATGGTTTTTAATGTTAAAACATAAAAGAAACATAAAAGATTTGACTTCTTTACTTGTTTGATCCTATAACGTTACTGCTTATTTACTACATCAACAAAACTCATAAAACATGTGTTTACTGACCTTTTCTAGGGAGTTGTGGTGGACAAGGAATTCAAATCGGTATTGGAGAAAATTCAAAAGAAACGGATGTTTATTGTGCGGTACGATACGTCACTTCCGCTGAACACCGGAACAGTTACCACAGCGGATCCAAAGAACATTTTTAACATCGACCCGATAAGGATTCTTTACTTCATGAAGGAACATTTAAGGACAATAGATCTATTTCTCAAGTTTGACAAAGACTCCAACAACTGTCTGACCAGGGATGAGATGCAGTTTGCTTTTGAGGTAGGCTATTTAAAGGCTATCATTATCTGAATGCTGTAAATGTCGAAATGTTCGCTTGAATGTAACATTTACGAATTTGCGACCTGAGAAACTTTGGAGAATTATCCGCTGTGCAGAATGTTCTTTACATCATAAAACCCTATTAAATATACATGTATACTAACAAGTTGTTTTTCTTCGTTTTGTTTTGTTTTTTTTTTTTGCTTGTGTATGTGTGTGTTGTTTTTTTTTTTTTGTTTTGTTTTTGTTTCTTGTTTTGGCGTTCTTTTTGGAAAACATAAACATCAGGATGAAAGGTTTGTTAAACTAAAATTGAAAAAAATTTAAAAGCTCTAACCTTAAGTTAGATATGGAAGATATCCCATAAGATAAGCACCTGCAGATTTTGTAGTTATTTGTAAACATGTATTTACAGATGGAGGAATATCCCATAAGTTAAGCAGCTCTAGATTCTGTAACTATTTATTTATAGATGGAGGAATATCCTATAAGTTAAGCTGCTCTAGACTATGTAACTACTTGTTTATTTATAGATGGAGTGATACCCTATTAGTAAAGCAGCTAACTATTTGTTTATTTATAGATGGAGGGATACCCTATAAGTAAAGCTGCTCTGGATTCTGTTATGTCCTATCTGGATACAAACAAAGATGGCAGTGTTGATTTACTGTAAGTCATGCTTCAATAGAGAATTTTTTCGAACACTCTTTACATTGTAAACCCCAAAATGCTGAAAATAATATCGTTTTCTAGTTTACCAAAATTACAACAGGAGATAGATCGACTGGATAAAAAGTATCCTGGAAAATACAGGTAGAGAACTCATTGGCAAGCCGCTAAAACTTACGCAGCTTAACATAAGTAGAATTTAGGCATGATGGAATATGCCGTATACCTTGATGCTTATATAGTGTAGATGGCTTTTAAATTTGCATAAATGTAGGCAGGACTTCGCACATTTTTTACCATGATGCTTTGTAATCATTGTAAGAAAGCTGCCACATACAGCACCAAAATGCTTTTTGCATTTACTGCTTAAGCACTGCATGTATTTAGTTTGGTTGCGTATATTACATGTACATTATAAAGGATATTATGCGAACACTAATTATGAAATATGGTTATGGGGACCATATTAAGTTTGGAAATCCTTGAATTCATACCTCTGTGACTTTAAACTTGACGTTAAAAACTCTAGATGTAACTTTTTGGGATTTATTACTTTTCTGAGGATTGCTTCCTCTATCAATAACTGATGGTTTTCGTGCTTAGTTTTATATACTTTTCTTGACAATTACTTCATTTATACGGCATTTTCTTCGTTGCAACAGGGAGTTCATCGAAGGAGAGCGGAGGTTAAAGCGGAAGTTGATCCAGGAGAAAGAGGAGGATGCGTTACGAAAGGGCGCGGAGGAGGAACTTAAGAGGGACCACGAGTACTCCCAGGCCTACCAGACCCCAACCAAACCGAGGTTCCCGCCAATTAAAAAGTGACGTCCGGAAAGACGTCAAAATGTTAAAAAGACTTGGAGGTAGAAAAAACAGACTTAACGGTGCTGCCTAGAATTCCAAGTGCACGTTATAATTGATGTAGAAATGGTGCTATTGACTCACACAGTATTAAGAGATGAACTTGATCATTCATGTTGAAGTCTGCAAAGGTGAATTGCAGAATTTTATGAATTGTTTTTGAACATACTCAGGGCTGAATCATCTGATTTATAATTAACTTTTCATTTTACCTGTGTATATTATTTGATCTTATTTACTTGTTGCTGAATATTGCATTCATTACGTGTGTATGAAAATTTTACACTATTATATATTCAAGTTAAAATATATTTGTGTGTATTTCAACAACTTCTTTTCAGAGTACATATACTTAAGCCATATATTCCTAAATTTTAAAATGGCGTGATTTCGCATTGTCCATTTTGGTGAAAGACATTTTTGGCGCCACATTTAGCCATGTGGTTGTCCGAGTGGTAGGGAGGATTCCCACAATGTTTGTCATGTGTCCTTCCTTCCCAGTAGCTGTTTATTCTATACTTAAACTCAAACCAACCATTCTCTGTCTTAGAATAGTCCATCATCACATCCAACAACCATAAGTGAGGACCATATCTAACAATGGGATAGAAATGTCAATAACTTTTGTAAAGTCTGAGTTTAGCCTCAGTTGTAACTTTTTCTTCAAAGAATACTCGACCCGAAGAATGTTTATACAAAAAAAAAAAAAAAAAAAACAAAAAAAAAAAAAAAACAAAAAAAAAAAAAAAAAACAAATTAAACAAACAAACAAACAAAACGCCCCAGCTATTGCTGTATGAACATTTTCCCCTACAGTTTCTGGAGATTAACTCCCGACAAACGTTAACATAGATCAAAATAGTAATTTGTTCAGAGAAAACAATTCTAAATTCATATAACTGTGTTACTCTTGGTTTACAGCTGCATGCATAATATCGATGAAGAAATGATGTTCATACGTACAAAACAGGGAGGGTTAAGGCTGATTAAATAATTATGAGATAAACGCATACGAAACACCAATGAAATAGGATTAGAACGTAGTCAACAACGACAAAAAAGTACAAGACGTAAAAAAAAAAAAACAAAAAAGAAGAGAATAGAATATAAAACAAAGATAAGTGGTAAAGTTGTATCAATCAACTAAGAATGGGGTTAAGGTGTGCAAGTGCAAAACAACAAAATGGAGCTAAGGTGTGCAAAACAACAAAATGGGGCTAAGGTGTGCAATACGAGTGAAAATGGGGTTAAGCCATTAAAGTGTGCAATTAACAAGAAACTGGGGTTAAGGAGTATAAAGCAGCAAAACAGATATAGTTTTAAGGAGTGCAAAACACTCGGTGTTTTGTGTGACCCGTAAAAGACGGATGCTTTCTCCCCCTAGGCATCTGATCCCATTTCTCTGTTATTCTCAGGGGTCCGTATTTTACCCTCCTCACAGATTTGCAGTGTTTATAGGTTTATTAGATTGATCACTGATCCCATTTCTCTGTTATTCTCAGGGGTCCGTATTTTACCCTCCTCACAGATTTACAGTGTTTATAGGTTTATTAGATCGATCACTGTTCGTTAACTTCACCTGCTTCACATTCACACGTACGTGTTGAGTGAAGTGTATTCTTGTCTTTCTTGGTCATTCGTCGTCCATACGGCCGGTGATCCAGTTGGCTGTTTGCCTAGATAACTGCCCTGTCCTACTTCCGGTCCATACCAGTCCAGGTGATTGTCGCCTTGTTTCCAGGCATCATAGGCCTTGTAGAAAGATGGTTCCTTGTTGTGTATAATTGGAATAGCACAAGGACTGGTGTCGGCATTATCAGTACATCCTGTAATATGACACACGGCAGAAATGAAGAAGAAATCAAACCAAAATATGTCAAAAAAATGTATTTTTAATTTGCATTGGAAAAATACGTCAGAGGTAAACAAATCAAATTTGAGTGTAGGCCCTAGTCAGAGAAATCCGATTGATTTTGTTGAAATCATATCAACACTTGATATAAGATACATGTATCTATCGAATACAAGTAATAGAAATGTACAGTCAAAATTTTTCCATCTTTACATGGCTTATTATGTTTTATACCATTGCTTTAGACTGAGCTAAATGAATTGAAAGGTTAAACATAAAACATAAGATGTTAATTAACGGATACCATGATTTAAGCGGGGGAACGCATATATTACAAGAAAAAAAATGCTATATTTGAGCGAAAAAAAAAATATCGCCGTAATTGAAGGTTTTTACAATGCTTGGATCTGTAGCTCTCTGGTTTATCTGTCCGAATTTTCTCAACCAGAGAGATACAGTTCTGCATCTAATACACAACTGGCAGTTATTTCTTTGGAATTGGTAGAAAGTATAAAAAGAAGTTATCAGTCTGTTTATATGGCTGTCTATTTCAATAAAATTTCGAATTAATACTAGCTTGAGATTTCATCAAAGCAGAAATATTCTTTGAACTCTACGATTTCATATTTGGATTCAATTTCATAAGCCGGCTCTCCTTACGTCAAACACAACCTTTTTAGACTAAATATATTACCTGCAACTAGCGATTATGTAAACCCGAGCTAATTTGAATTTTTGAAAAGTACATGTAGCTACTTAAAAGACTGATAACATTAATGCCAAAGACAACAATGGACTTTAAATAAAAATGTTTTCCATAAAAAAGGTGGCACATATGGAACTTCGAAATAAACGGCATTCAGCATAAGGAACAGTTCAAAGCTGTGCCAGAAAGTTTATAGCATTTCTGAGGAAGTTATATCATTCAAGATACTGTAATGTAAGGTTATTTATACCATGTCTATGTTCATGACTAATTCCCCCATCAATGAACAAATCCTCCCCGTTTCTCGTCATTTTCTCTATCAGAATCACTGTTCTTGCCCATGTGCCATTTCCTGGTGTAACAATTGCTCCTGGGGTAGATGTGGTAGATAAGTCTGTAGATCCCGTAGGAGAGATATCTATAGATCCTGTAGTAGATAAACCAATTGATGGTGTTGTAGATGCGGAAGGTGACTTTGTTGCCAAGGGATAGTGATTAAAAAAGTGATCCCCGGGTCCTGTTGGTCCACCTGAAGAATATGTCATATATTGAAATTGCTAAGTTAACTTATGATATTGGGTTATATTTCATAATACGATTTCTAACTAACTCGCCAACAATAAAGGCTATGATTGGTTCTGCACTGTTGTCAATCACGATGTGGGCGTTACCACTACCATCTATTGTGATCTTCTTCTGGCAGTCTGAGACTAGGTCGCAATAATCTCCTGCAGGTAAACCAGTCTGGAGGGTTGTGTCCATGTGACCTTGTTTGGCCATAGCAAAGAAACCTTTCTGTCCTCGAGCAAAAGAGATTTCATCATTTTGATTTCTCCAGTGCTTTATCTCAGTTTCGACCACGGCGTTTCTGAAGGCCGCCATGTTGGCTACTGGGTTCCACCTGTGTTCACATACCCATCCATTACCACATGAACCGTCAGCATTAATAGTAACGTCTTTCGCTGAAAAGTCAGCGTTGTCTGGGGGTCCTTGGTCTGAGTTATCAAAGAAATAGCTGCTCATGACTCTCGTAAATCCATAATTGTAGGCTAGTGTAAATGCTACGGCCATTTTGTAGTCACGTGGTGTTTTGTGTGTGATTAGATTACCACCACCTCCGTGTCCTCTTTGGTTGTCATGGTTATCGACAAACACGAAGGCATGACTCGGGTCCGACATTCCCCAAGACGGAACATACATATCATTTAATTGTCCAAAATCGTGAATTCCATATGCAATTTTTTGACAATAACGGAACTCTGTGACATATCCTAACTCGTAATACTCATTTACTCTCACAGCTCCGTCGTTCTGGTCGATGACCTCATGGTAAAAGAACGGCCTTCCTCCTTCTGGAAGGTCCTTGACCCTGTCTTGAATGGCCTTGATATCTTCTGTCCACATGTGTTTGGATGCGTCAACTCTGAATCCCGCTACGCCTATGTCGATACAGTGGTTGAAGTACTCAGCTATTTTATCTCTGACGTATTCCTGGCTCTGATCTAAGTCAGTGAGCCCTACCAGGAAACAGTTCCGGACGTTCTTAGGGTCACTATAATTGTCGACTCCCCCGTTTCCGGACGGACACTTATCTCGTGTGTTGAAATGTTGTCGGTTGTATGGAACACCAGGAAAATCATAATTGCTGGAATTGAAATGACTTCCAGCTGTCCCTATCCCTATTCGACCCAGTCCAGCCATGTGATTGATAACGGCGTCCACATATATCCTGAAAGATAACGACTTTTTTCGTACGTACGTACAATATCCTGGGTATGATATTGACATTTGTGTTTAAATATTACCTGACTCCGACATTTTTACACCTGAGAACCATGTCTTTGAATTCGGCCTCTGTCCCTCCCCGGCTGTGAAGTTTATAACTGACAGGTTGATATCTCTCCCACCACGGACGCATAGGGTGTGTGACCACAATATGCTCATTTGGAGGTGAAACCTATAAAGAATTGTGTCGGAATAATTCATATGACTCTTGTCTTTAATCCAAAGGGTTTTTTTTAGTCTTTACTGCATCCAGGTAACTGTGATTGATTTATGAAATAGAATTGTATTATTAAAATTTCAAGAAAGGGATATAACTATAGGAATATTTAAATATATGTGTAGCATAAAGAAGAAATATATCACTTCATGTTGTGAACCTAATTATAATTTATGTAAGATGAATTTAAGAGCACAGGGAAAGTTCCGTTTCATCTACTGAACCTAAACTCCACAAAATTGTTTCATTTACCGCACCTGAACTCCACAGAACTGCTTCTTTCCTAGGAATCGCTCACATTCATCTGCTATGTCTGTCCACTTCCATTAAAACAAGTGGACAATCACCTGCTTCCCGCCACAATGTGGATCTCGATAGTCCCCAAACACTATGACGTAAAAAAAATGTATATGAAATCAGTGTGTCTTTTTGTGTGCACAAAGGTATCAGGCACAATCTTTCATGAAAAATGAACAAATTTTATAACATCATATAAATTGGTACCGTATAAGATTTTACATTTACTTGAAAGTTTGTTTACGACACTAGATTTATCAAAGCAATAGCACTGTACCCAAGGTCATTTGAGCGAATTCAAGGTAGTAGATGTTTTTTTTTTAAAGAAAGTGAGCTAAACAAAGGTCAACTTGTCCTAGTCAATAGGATGAAAGGCTTAGTTACGAAGGTCAATATTTTAAATTTCATTTTTCAGGAATATTTTATGACTCGAATATTAAGAAATCACTACAATTTTGTCATTAATTTGACTTTGTTAATTACATACTAAAATCTTTATATACTCAACAGTAAATTAAAGCTAGTACCATATATTCACCCTTAGTCTTATCTATTACACGTGCATTATATGCTTTCCTACATTTAATCATGACTTGAGTTTTCGAGGAATTGAGATGACCATTGTAAAAATCAACATTAATAGAACTGCGATTGAAGAATGAATTTAGAATTCATAAACAAACCTTTATAACAACTGAGTAAGAATAGCAGAAAATTCCACATTTCTCGCACTTTCGTTCAAGACTGTTCTGTGGTGGTGTCTGAAAGAACTTATTTTATCGCATTTTTATCATGTTACCTTAAGGCCTTCCGAATTTGACATAGGAATTCTTTTAGATTTTGATCATTTTTACATCACAGATTCTAAAAATAGGAATCACAAAGTACCTTCCATGGAGGGCAGATAATTTCTTGATATTTCTTTATTCATGCTAAAGCACACGTTTCCAAAGACGTCTCTAAGAGTAACATACGTGCAGAGTATATATTTTGTAACCTTTACACCATGTTTAATCTGCTTTGTTAACTGAATTTCTTCTAAATTGAACATTGAGTGAATATTAACCTTTTGATAGACATTTTAAATAGTTAAACACTATTTTATAGTAATTTTATTTTAATTAAACTGAGTATTAAATCGTGAAACTCTTGGTGGGAGACAATGCTATCACTTCTTGATGGTAACCAGAACTTTCGTTGAAGGTCTCTTCGTTGATGCAATATGTCCTGGAAATAGTAAAAAAAAAAAGCAAACTATAATTATTATAGTCTTCAGTGATTATTGAATGAACCACCAACTACATTTACGTGTACAAGGCTACAAATTCTCAGGTTAATTAAAGATTGAAAGGATTAAATTCAAAAAGGATACAATTTAAACAAATGCTTATAATTTAATTTTGGTTGTAACGCGTCATTTGATTGGATAAAAAAGATTAGAATATATCGCATAACTTGGGTTGCCTACGTCACAATGACTTAAATACGTAAAAGAGGGTGTTGCAGAAACTCGTGATTATTCCCTATATCGAGAAGGACATTTAAATACCCAAGACGCATGAAAAGTTATCTCTAAATATAGATAATGCTACGTAGTACGTAGATGACTTTATTTTTACGGCGGGTATGTCCAGCTTGTTATAACAAAACATTTCAAATTTTACGTTTATTTCATGCATAGTTTTTCCTATCTTGTTGATTTATCCGACTTCAAATAAAAATTATCCTATCCTATAGACTGGCGACCTGATAGTAATCTTTTTTTTTCACATCTATGTTCACTATCGCTATATTGCACGCGAAAAGTTAGAACGATAAAATGCACAATTAATGGCAAGTGCATCTCGCACATCATTTTGAAAGATGTGCTGTAGACAGCATGCGTTAATATTATACAATTATGGACTCTTTCGATGGTGAATATGGTTTGTTATTCACCAGAAAAATATCAATATTGACCTCGGCTTTGCCTCGGTCAATATTGATATTTTTCTGGTGAATAACAAACCATATTCACCATCGAAAGAGTCCATAACTGTTTTATTATAGAGTCAGGATTTAATGAATAAGACATTGAAGGCCGCCTGACGATTCCATTTTCATTAACGAACTTCTGTCGTAGAAAAATAAAGAATGTCCAGATTACAACCTATAACCTCCGTGTTTTCCTTTCGATGTGCGTAAGACATCGAAATGTTAAGAAAATAATCCTGCGATAGACTTGCGGAACAATTTTTCCTGCTCATATATTCAGCTAGCTCCGACCGCTGCAACCCTTGTTTTCAACGTTGTTTGGGGTATTGATTGTGACGTCACAATGCCACTGCACGCGCACTGACCCTCCGGTGAATACGGCTTCAAATCCGGTGAATATGTAGTGTTATGAACTGTTTGCGTTTGTATAGATTATATAGGGGCTATTTATAGACTATATAATAATTTTTAATATGTATATAAAATGTGTCCAATAATCACGCTGTTGATGCAATATCCAAAAAATTCCATTGAGTCATTTCAATTTAGTTGTTTCAGGTCAAATCTGAGCAACTAATTAACAGAACAATAATGAAACGAAATGAGTATGAAAAAATTAAATTATTTAAAATGATAGTACTTTATTTTTTAAGACATCGCCACTAAATGTATGTCTTATTTGATTTAGATCACAATATCAAGGAAAACAATTTAATTCTGCATGCAATTAAAATATTACCCATTAACTTTCTGACATTCTCTCCCTCTCTCTCTCTCTCAAGAGAGATGTTACATTGTACTTCAATTATTTAAATTATTTAAGAAAAAAAATATGTATATACCAGCCATTCCAGGTATTCGAACCCATTCTCAGGTAAAAGAATCTCCGAAAAGAGTCCACACGCTTTACCACTGACTCCGACACTGAAGTATCATGTGCTATTTTATGTGCACATTTTCCATTTCGGATGGATAATAATTTTTATTCGATTTTTGTGATTTTCAAAAATATGCCTCTTTGAAACAAAAATCGGAAATGGCAGTTTTGAAGAAAAATCCTGTCTCTTTATGCGTATTTCAAATTCATTCTGTTTCAAGGAGGCAATTTTTCAGAACAATGGGGATTCCCTATTTGAAAAACAGAAAACTTGACTCATTTTGCTAAGTGGCTAATTTACACTTCATTTAATGGCAAATTGGTAGTCGATATGCAGTTTCTAAATATTGTTCTACATTGTGCTGTATATACCGTTGTATCTGAAAAAAATTTAAGACCGTTTTCTGTTACTTGAATTTTTCCTTTTAAACTGCTACAGCTTTAGGGAAAATAACAAAAGAACTGCAACACCCTCTTTGAAGGCATTTTTGAAGGAGAAATTGTCTTTTTTTTAAAAACTTAATGATGAAAAATTAAATTATAAGGAATGAATTTAATAGCAACCTATGCGGTTTATAAAGCGTAAACTGTTTCAACCAAGGTTATACCAGTATAACTTGGGTAGCTATTAAATTCATTCCTTAAATAATGCTCACTCGTCTAGGTGCCTGACCATGTCATGTGCATTTTTACAACGTTTTAATAATTACACTGCAAAAATAAGAACAAACAGAGCATATTTAGACAACACATGTACATATACAATCAAACGCAATAAGGGACGGTAAGTGATATAGAATAAAAATAGATTAATTTAGATCTTTCTCTTTAAAATTTAATTATTATGCAACATATGAAACTGTCATAAGTATGACTTCTAAGTCATACTTCTGTTAACACGAAAAAAGTCTTTATAATCATGGTCGGACGGAATGAAAAGGTTTTCTGAATATGCTCTGTAACGGTTTAGGATCACTTGATGAAATACATAGCCAAAATTGATTGCCAATGTCTCTTTTTCTATTGGGCATAGTTTTGCAACCTGTCTATCAATACTCTAGATCCATAAGCAATAAGCAGATTCTCTTGTTGAGCAGAGCACCAAGCTTTAACACACCGTATGGAAGATACAGCTTAACCAGAATGCCCTTTCGCATTAAATCTGCCTCGGAAGTCTACCATAGAGCTATCTCGGACTTTGTGAAAGATATTGAAAGATGTGAAGCCATCATAGACGATTTTCATATCCGGGACAAAGATCAACAGGAACATGCTGAATCTATCACATGAAATCTTTAAAGCTGGAGTGCAGATTCAGAAAAGATTAGAGCAGTAAAGAAATGAAACTTTACAGAGCTTATGATATTTCTTGGATGTGTGCAATACTAGTAATTAGGAAAATTGATCCCAAATTTATCCGAAATTTGTGAACTATTGAGACAGTTGCTCTGCAAATACATCATAGCATGGCATTGAGAAGAGGTCAAAATTATGAGTTTTGAGAAACTAAAGCAGCAGCTAGTGTCAGAAGCTCTAGTACTTCGAGATAAAAACCCAAAAAAGATTTTAGTGTTCACAGTGGATGTAAGTTTAAAGAGACTATGAGTCTGTATTCTCATCAATTTTGAGTTGCTAAAATACGGTTGTCGCGTCAAGTTTTGTTAACAAACTAGAATCTCTTAATTTTTGTGATTATTTCTTCCACTGTCTGAAGTGGGAAATGCTCCCGGAGAATTGCATTCTTAAGGTCTCGAGGATCTATACATAAACGAATTTTTCATTGGATTTGATCACCAACGGTGTAGACTGATCCTGTCTCATAATGACACCATTTACTTCCGTCTTGTTCAGTTCCTCTTTCACTTTCTCTTTAAGTGACAATGGTATCTGACGAATCGCGTGAGTGACCGGTGTGTCATTTGGATCCCCATTTTATACTCTCTTAGCACGCATCATAATTTTTTGAAAACATAAGTGTAGTTCTCCATGTTCTCTAGAATGTTATTTGGTGTGACACTGTTCTATAGTGATATACTCTTGACACAAGACCATCACTCCAAATATTTGTCAGACATCGATTTTTATCAAGAGGAAATCTAGATCAATGTTTTTTTCTTTTTATTTCATGGGTAGAGTAAGAAATTCCGTTGGCTTTATTGTGTAACCTGAATATGATATATGATGTTTTATGAAATACAGTTTGTGCAGTGCATTTTCCTCAATTTCATTTCTGTATAGGGGATTAATTTCACGGGTTGTAATTTTCACGTTTTTCTCTCCTCGGACACGATCGCGGTTTGTTGAATTCGCGGAATCGGTATATGATAAAAGTAACCTCCTTTGTCTTTATCCGTGTAATCCATAGTATAGCTAGAACGACATTTATCAGCGTTATGTATTCACTTCACGAACAACAGTCAGGGTAGGTTTATATAAAATGATTAAATTTAGTAGTTAATTGATGAATAATCAAAACAAGTGCCGTTATTAAATTTTTTGACTATAAACGTCAAATGACTTTCCTTTATGCTTTTACGATGAGTGCATGTGTACACATCTTTCCGAAGGTATAACATATCGCAGCGAAAAAAAAAAAAAAAAAAAAAAAAAAACACTGGACGCTAATAAATGTATTAATGTAGGTAGACGTAATAATATCTTTCCATATCTTCAGCAAGTTCGATAGTAATTTTTTAAAACCAAAGTTTTCATAAAAACTAGTACGCATAATGCTAATGCAGACAACAAATACACGTGGTAACGTTACGCACGGGTAATCAAAAGCCATGACCCATGTGTTTTGATTGATGAAACGTATCTATTATAACAGCTTTTTACCAATAAATACAGGTTATTAGCTGCTTATTTGAATTAAAGTAAAGCGTGATAATTAAGATAATTGAATGACAAATAATACTCGTATTGCTGAATGACCATGAATTATACGTATATATACCTATCGTAGTCTGTTCTCAAATTTCCAAATAAAACACTGCGGTTTAATATTTAAAACTTATTCACTGTTTCATGAATTCACGGATTTATTAACACCGTGAATATAGCGAATATTACATGTAACACGGCGAGTTATTTCCCCCCTTTACAGTAAATGGCAGCACATTGCAGATTGCTCCAGTGTCCAGTTGGAATTTAACATGTTTTCCATGAATTTTTAATTCTTATGTCCATTTGTTGGAGTGTTTGTCCATAATTTCAGTATCAAGGCCTCCCATGAGTAGAAATTCACCTCCTCTCTGTGTGTCACTTGAATCTGAGAAGTTTTCTTCCTCCACTTAACGACTAGACTTTGATTTGCTTTTATTAGTCCCCTACCGGTGAAACTGGAGGGGACTATGGGTTTCCTCTGAGTCTGTCCGTCCGTCTGTCTGTCTGTCAGTCTGTCCCACTTGGTTTTCCGCACTGTTTTCCTAAACGCTTGCAGATATTGAGCTGATTTTTGGTGTGTGAGTGTATCTTGATGAGTTACAGATCAAGTTTGCATTTCGTTCCGCTTCATTGATTTTTGACGGAATTACGGCCTTTTCAATTTTTAAGGGTTTACCGCAATTTTCTTCTAAACGCTTTCAGATATTGAGCTGATTTTTGGTATGTGACTTTATCTTGATTAGTTAAAGATCAAGTTTGCATTTCGTACCGCTTCATTGATTTTTGACGGAATTATGACATTTTCAATTCTTAACGGGAACCATGCAGATTACACTTGCCGGTAGGGGACTAGTATTGCTAATGCAATACTCTCAGAATGCTTGTTAATTTTAGTTCTGCAGACTTGTGCAAAATGGTCTCTTTTGTGGCACTTTTTGCATATTTATTAGATAGCTTGGCATGGTTTCCCATCATGTTTGTATTCACATCTAGTACACAGTTTGTCCTGTTTAGTTTCACTGAACCTGTATATAAGTTGTTAACGTTTCCCTGAATTTTACTGTGAAACATGTAAGGGCTGAAAATCACGTTTGATTCGAGCTTCATTTATCCTTCGAACCTATCTTCGTAGTTTTTAACGTTTTTTAACGTGTATCATCTGAGAGTTTCCATGTAGAAAAATATCGTCCTTTCTTTCTCCCCTTCCCGAAATTAGGTACGAAAAATTTTCTATTTCCGAATTTTCTTTAAGAGGTCTAGACCCAGCACCTATCAGTCCATCCTAAAAACATTATCGTTTATCATATCCATCATTTTATGGTTGTTAGGGCTCTTTATTAGCTCTTGAAATTCTGACACCATGTTACATTGTATGTGTCTGACCACGCTGTATGGGCCTTTTACGACGATTTTTTACACTGTATCGTATAATAACAAACGAAACATAAGACAATACACATTTAATCAAATGCATCAGGAACGCTGATATGCATAGGGTAAAAGTATAATAAATTACAAGTATTTTTTTTTTGAATTAATGAAAATAGGTTTTATTGCTTTCAAAAATTTTCATACCTTGTATCATGGTGAACAATTCCTTTTGAAAACAATCGTCCGTAGTGCAGCAAATTGTGTTCGTACCAGGAAACAACAGTCCTAAGGTCTGTTTATATTTACATTCCGAGCTCTGCTCAACAAGAAATAAGTCATGCTATTATGTATTTCATTTATAATATATTGTATTTTCACAAAGCACGTATACAATGTTTTAATGTGTTTGATAAAAGAAAACTAAAAAATTTAATTTACATTTTGCAAGATAAATCGACATGTTTAAATTTACCGTGGTACATTTTGTTTGAATTCTGTTTCTTTGATTCTGAAGCATGCACACACCATTGCACGGCTGAAAATTTTCGGCGCATTGTGACGTCAATAAATCATCACAGTTATCACAAGCTGCTTGTTGCGCAGTTGCTGTCGTGATCTGTCTACTAGTTGCTGTGTCAAATGTTCTTGTTGTTCTTTGTTCATGAGATGTTAATAATGATAGGAGATTGGATGTTTTGTTAAGTGGTTGATAATCTATTGAATGAAAACTATTTGTTTTGAACATGAAAAAAACGAACATTTTTATGAATTTCATTTGCGCGCTCATCAATGTACTAACCAACAGAAAATGCTATGATTGGTTCTGCACTGTTGTCAATCACGATGTGGGCGTTACCACTACCATCTACTGTGATCTTCTTCTGGCAGTCTGAAACAAGTTCACAATATTCTCCGGCTGGTAGTCCCGTCTGTAAGGTCCTGTCCATGTGTCCACTTTTGGCCATAGCAAAGAATCCTTTCTGTCCACGAGCAAACGACACTTCCTCATTTTGATTCCTCCAATGACTGACACCGGTTCCTGCCACGGCTTCTCGGAAGGCCGCCATGTTGGCTATTGGATTCCACCTGTGCTCACATACCCATCCATTACCACAGGAACCATCAGCATTAATGGTGACATCTTTTGCTGAGTAGTCAGAATTATGCGGAGGGCCCTCGTCAAAGCCATTGATATAATAACTGCTCATGACGCGGGTAAATCCATAGTTATATGCTAGGGTGAAAGCAACCGCCATTTTATAGTCACGTGGTGATTTATGAGTAATGAGATTCCCGCCCCCTCCGTGTCCTCTTTGGTTGTCATGGTTATCGACAAACACAAAGGCGTGAGCACTGTCAATCATTCCCCATCCGGGATCATAAACTCCGTGAAGCATTCCGAAATTACGCATCCCCTCCGCGATCTTCTGACAATATCTGAATTCTGTCACGTAACCAAGATCTGTGTATTCTCCTACTTTTATTGCTCCGTCGTTTAGATCGGTCACCTCATGGTAGAAAAATGGCCTGCCTCCCTCTGGAAGGTCCTTGACTCGATCTTGAATAGCTTTGATATCCCCAGGCCACATGTGCTTTGCAGCATCTATCCTAAATCCAGCCACCCCCAAGTCTACGCAATGATTGTAATACTCCACTATTTTGTTCCTTACATATTCCTGACTTTGATCCAAATCCGTGAGTCCCATTAGAAAGCAGTTTCTTACATTGTTAGGGTCCCCGTAATTGTTAACATTACCGTCGTGTGAGGGGCACTTGTCCCTGGAATTGAAGTGTTCCCTTCTGAACGGTACCCCCGGGAAATCGTAATTGTCAGAGTTGAAAGAGGTGCCTCCTGATCCTGTCCCCGTCCTCCCCAGTCCCGCCATATGATTTATCACAGAATCCACATACACTCTGAAAAGGTAGTTCTTTATGTATTCTTTCTCCAGTTATGCAGCATGCACAAAGAAAAACTGACTAAAAATCTATTTTAAAATAAATGCATATAATCTTATTCTAACCTGACGCCTACGTTTTTACACCTGGTGACCATGTCTTTGAATTCGGCCTCTGTCCCTCCCCGGCTGTAAAGTTTATAACTGACCGGTTGATATCTCTCCCACCACGGACGCATGGGGTTTGTGGTCACAATATGCTCATTTGGAGGTGAAACCTATACAAAAGCAGTCTAAAGTAAACGAGTGTAAAAGAAAACTAAAGGCAATTATATCTTGTAAACTGTTTTGCATTCATATAAATGAAATCATTTTATTCAAATAAACGATGTAAAATAAAAATATTCTCATACGAAATCTAGAAACTGATATGATATTTTCTAAAATTGATTTAAACAAATTAAAGTAGAAATAGCTCTTCATTTTGTTTTCCGCATGCGTGTTCAAATGGACACGGGACTGCCATCTCATCTACTAGTACTGTACCTGAACTCTATAAACTTGTTTTATCTTATGTACCTGAACTCCACAAAACTGTTTCTTGCCGAGGAACCTCTCACATTCATCTGCTATGTCTGTCCACTTCCATTCAAACAAGTGAACAATCACCTGCTTACCGTCACAGTGTGGATCTCGATAGTCTCCATGAACTACTGACGTAAAAATACTTAATAAAGATTAATCAAAAGTCAGAACTATAACACATCAACTAACTTTTTAAAATTTTGATGAGAATATTAAAAGAATTGTTGGACTTTCAGTCACGAAAGAGTTTGGTGGTAGTTCTCTGTCATTAAATTGCACTCCAGTTACAAATAAGACGGTATACAAAGTTGAAGTATTTTAAATTCTTAGGACTGTGTTCTTCCTCTCTTCTGTGATTGGTAAAAAATACATGATGTGAACATTTTCAATTATTTCATTGGTTAAAATGCTGTTTTAAGGCAAGGGAGATAATTTTCTGATGATAAGTTTTTCCTGCGATTTAACAATTCTTCAAGATTTTCAATTTTAAAAATCTTTAAAAATATCGACAAAACAAACAAAAGAGAATCTGAAAGTATTAATAATTTTTTCTATATTATCATGGTTTACACAGATTATTCTTTTTTTTACATGCAAACATTGAAATTTGTGTTTATTCTTTTTCTCTCTCCATTTTTTATGTAGGAATGTTGTCTGTAAAAGGCTGTTGAGGATGTACAGGCCAAGAACTAAGGTTTTCAAGAATAGGTGTATGTCAGTTTACTGTTTGAGGTTGTTGGTAAAGAAGGCAAAGCTTTCTGAAAAAGCTACATATATACTTGTATATATAATGTATCATGTAATGATCATGACAACAGCACTGACATACATATGAAAAAATTCAATTCTCAAGGTATGTTACTCCTGACATGAGTTATATCAAAGACTTTTTTAGAAGAATATTTTAGAAACTTATTTAGCATGCTTCAAAATCGAAAAGAAATTTATAATTAGGGTCAGTGTGCAACTTACTGAGTACCGTGCATAAAATTGACCTTTTCGCGCAAATTAAGATCGTAATTTTTAGGTTAATCACTTTTAAACTTTATCATATTTTACCACATTTGAACATTCAATTAATTCAATTTTATTTTGTTTTATGTAAAATAGTTTGAATATTATTCAATATTTTAAAAAAAATCTGCAAATTAATGCGCTTAAATTTTTGTGTTAGGTCTTTGCACAAAAATATATCACATTTCTGGTATTAAGAAATTAAATATTTTCTTGAAAAAAAAAAAAACTTAATGCGACATAGTTCTGAGCGATTGAAATTATTGTGTAGTTTAAAGTAATGAAGAAAAAGGGTGACTGGTGTAAATTTTATCTTGATTTCTTCATTTCTTGGCAAAGTCTGTTGAGTGAGTGTGTAAATTTTGTTCTAAAAATACTTATAAATCAAAACCTATATATTATATTACTGTCATATAATAACGCTAAAGTAAAAAGATTTAGGGCTATTTTAAAGTTCAAAGATATTAAATCTAACAAATATGTAGATTTGAAGAATTAGCTTCGATATATTTTCAAACACAAGGAATAATTCTCCATATATATTTTTTTTTATTTCTTTATAATTCAATGAGTAGTTTTTAAATTGAATATTGTATATATTGCATTGTTTAATTCACATATGATATGAAAATTATATCATAAAAATATTTTCTGACAACATTATTCTCAAAAGCTGACGAGTGACATACTTCAAGAACTTTACAGAGCTGTAGTTTTCTCGAAGTTTTAAACAACAGGTTAAAGGTTGTTACAAGCATTAGATATGCATTAGATATTTTCTCATTTCAAAAAATTGCAATTTATAAGCCTTATTGTTAAAATCAATATAGTCGCCCGCGTGGCGCAATATTAGAACGTTTGATCCCAAGTCGCAGGATAAGGAGTAGATCCTTACGTCGCGGTTTCGAATCCCATTGCGGTATGTGGAGACCGGTTCTTCAGGAGGTACCGTATAAACCGAGGCCCCGTATGGCAGTAGGTGCTGGCACAAAAAGATCCCTCACTGCTCAAAGGTTCTAAACGGAGGCTGGTATAGGACATGGTATGAGAATTTTTTTTATTAATTCGTGGCCACGAAATAAAATTCGTGGGAACGAAATAAAGTTGTGCTACATAATGCCATTTTTAGCTTCTTCTGTTTTATGTCATTCAAGATGAACGAACTTATATATTATTATCATTCAATTGGAATGAGCCAACGGGATATTTGTGTAATGAGCAATGAGATTTGATGCTGATACGTAGAACATGATTCATATGAGAAGTTATACTCCTAACATGCTAAGATTTTGTGTCTTTATTTCATTACAACTATGTGATAGGATTCAATAGAAAATGTGAGAAAACAGCAAATAAGCCCTTAAAGTCATTAATGTTCGGGTTGCCTTGACTAATATCAGGAACAAAACTTACCAGATAGTTAAGAAAAATACATAACTTGACTAATATGAAATTGTCCCTAAAAATAATCTAAAAAATCATGAGTTGGGACTTCATACTGTGTCATGTGGCATGATGACAAGCTGAAGAGAACACTTTCATTTTGTTTTATTATTTGGTTAGGATATCATTTTTGATGAAGTATCATCGAACTGCCTTAAACTCCAGAACAGTCCATTGAATCGGCTTGAATGTTTTGTTTTAATTTTGTGCACAGAGCAAAAGAGAGAGTTTATTTTTATTATTATTATTTTTTTTTTTACATCTAAACTATGTACATAATGCATGTACCAATTCTCAGCTGCTTCTAATATATATGCAAATTAAATATATGGGTATTTATAATGATGTTTATTAGTGCGGGCCAGTTACAATAATCTAACTGTGTCTGCGTGTCATTGGACAGACCCTCACTGGGTCCATAGCAAATTATCATTTTAACACTATATGTACATATAATTGCATACATATAATTCCAACGAATCATTTCGTGGCCACGAATTTTTTATTTCGTTTCCACGAATTTTATTTCGTGGCCACAAATTTTTATTTCGTGGCCACGAATTTTCATTTCGTTCCCACAAATTTTTATTTCGTTCCGACGAATTCTTATTTCGTTCCCACGAATTTTTTATTTCATTTCCACGAATTTTATTTCGTGGCCATGAATTTTTATTTCGTTTCCACGAATTTTATTTCGTGGCCACGAATTTTTATTTCGTGGCCACGAATTAATAAAAAATATTCTCATGTCATGTCCTTTACCAGCCACCGTAGTTCTAAGTGCCAAGTACATGTCTAAATATGCAGCCCTCCACCGGCAAATGGTGGCGTCTCAATATATATGAGTAAAAAAATCTCTAAGGGACATTAAACAACAAGCAAATAAAATCAAATATAAATATTTAAATGCAGTTGTAGAATGAAAGTAAATAAAGAAGCAAACCTGTGTGAGTGTTGTGTAATAAAACAAGAAAAGTTCCGATCCACATTTCTCCTCTTATCGTTGCTTTGTGTTTAGAACTTATTTTTATCTTCTTATTACTACCTTATCAGGAACTTTCCAAATGTTACATAAAAATAATAAAATACAGTGCAGAACTCATTCAGAAAGTGAAGATTGGAGGGGGGAGCTGGAATACATGTTCTTTTCGTAACTTTGACGAACATATACATGTAGTCATGTAATGATTTACAATTGTCTTTGTGGTCAAGCAAGACCACGGAATTAGGGGATCAAAGAAATATATATAAGTTTTCTTGATAGTAGGACGAGGAAGCTGTTAAAAAATTTATATATGAATGAAATTGTAAGTATTTGTTCTTAAAACACAAAGTTGTCCCTCAAGAAAATGATTAAAACATCAGTATACGAACATTAAAATATTTATCATAAAACCCTTATCACCTGCATATGGGGTTTATGTCTCCCAGCTGAATCGATACGCAGGAGATATCTACGAACAATTTCTCAAACGATGCAAGCTATTGACAAAAAAGTTGATGAAACAAGAATATCAACCGTAATGTTTAAAGTCATCATTTTGCAAGTTCTATGGTCGATACAATGACCTTGTCAGCAAATACTATCTATCATTGAGTGCTTACAGACGTTTTTCATACTTATTGTTAGGCCATTATTAACACACTATATTATCTACGGATTCTTCTGTTCGTCCGATCCTGACAAGGAACAAAAGGCGACACGGCGGGTGTGTCTGGTCGATAGAAGATGCTAACTCCTGATCCGGCCCTGATCCCACCTGTGATGTTTTGAGAGGTCCGTATTTACTCTGCTTCAGGTTTATATTATTTCAACGGACTTTTGAGCTTGATAACTGTTCGTTATCTCCATGTTTTATGCAAATACGCTTTTTGTTTTCTACGCTACGGTCAAAATCATTGTTTACAAATACTATTCGCTACATTGTGCAATTGTATTAGAGAAAATGCAGCTGCTCGTGTGTTGTAGTCAGTTGAACTATTGCAAGTAAATGTGATATAACTTGATTGCGTTTGCTATGCTATACCGGAAACGCTAAAAATTGGTGTCATTTACCTGAATTGACCTCTAACTTCTGATATCATTTTAGAAGATATAGCAATATGATTTAGAGAGAAATATATGAGCGACAAGAACATAAGCATGTTGATTCATTACTGCTTAATATTACAGATAGATGCTACATAAAACTAATGCTAAATTAGAGGTACTGTGAACATTGATCTCACAATGATACCCCCGCTCCCATATGTGTTTAATGGCAAAGTTCATTTTTTGCTATGGGTTTCACACTTTTGATCAGAATATAAATAGAAAGTGCATATTTGTATTGATCAAGACGAAACATTCCGTAGTCAAATTTAGTACAATTGGTTTGAAACAAGTCAGACAAAATACGACCCAGTGATAGATTATATTTGCTAATAATGTCATTAAAACGACCATAGAGTTTATGAAATGTTGATTGTAAACAAGGTTGTTGAAATCCCAGTAACATCAACTTATGTGTGAGCACCCTGTCTCGGTTTAAAAATTGTTCGTACTCAGGACATGCTCTTGAGTAGCGAATAAACACCAAATACAGGTGATAACGGAATATTACTACATAAAAAAGGAAAGTTGACGTTGGAAACCTAAAGTCATCTAGTTTGTCATACAATTTATTTGTTGGTTGGCCTTTGTCGTCTATAGTCAGTAAAAAAAAAACAAAACAACAACATCAAAAAACAAAAACAAATATGAAACAGATGTGGCAGACTATGTGGCAATTGCAGTGTTTTCTTCTTCTCATGTAGATGTTGTTTTTTTTTTTTCAAAAATAAATTCTGTTTCATATGAATATAAAAAAGGCCGGCTAATAAAGGAACACAATTAGTGCTCTTTGAATTCCAACACATCATTTAAAGGCTTGGTTTTGAAGAATACATGAATGTTGTCAATGAGGAACCCCAACATCCTTTTAATATCAACTTCAAAGTACTTATGTGTAGAATCATAGTGACTTTTAACGAAGTAATTTTGTTGTTTACCAATCACAAGACGAGAAAATTTCCGAGTTCCGTTTTTATTGAAGAAGCAGTTGTCTATCAGCATTATAATATCAAAAAGCCTAGTTTATATTTGATCGTGAGTAATGGTTGTATAAAGGCGTACGTTGTCCTTTCTGACAGATTTTACCTTCAAGTATAATCAGAAAATGTATAGAAATAAAAAAAATATACAAAGGTAAATATCACACCCTTTATAAAACTCTTAATTAGGATTATTGAATGCTGTATTTAATTTTCAATTTTTCAATTTTATATTTTCGATATCAATTAATTGATTTTAACTTGTATAGATTTAAGTATATTTAAAGCAATATGAGCTGCAACATTGATATCGGAAATTTTTGTGGCAAAATTTTAATTAACTATTTCAATGACAGGAAAAAGAACCATTCTCTATCCAGAGTTGTCGTTCCCGCTACGCTCCCACATACACTTGCTCTACGCTTGTTATACAAGATTCTTGGAAAAATTGTAAATGATTAAAAGTTGTATTATAATCGATTTTAATTATATTTCTTATCGGAAAACATAATTTATTTTAATTTATTACACCTTAAAAGGATTTTTTAATTAAGATTTTAATTTTTACTCCGCAAAATAGTTCCCTTAAAACTTTGAAAATAAGTCTTTTTGGGGGATTATAGATTTAAAATAAATAATGAATTATCATCTTTATCGATGATTACAATAATTAATTACTATTTAAATTTCAAATTTTCACTGTTTAAAATTTGTACAAGAATCTTGTACAACGAGCGTTGACAGAGGTGCTGTGAGCGTAGCGGAAGACAACTCTGGATAGAGAATTGAAAAAGAACGTTTACAAACGTCTGTTGTTCATATTTGCGAATATATACATTTGTAGTATCTCTCTATTATATAAACATACAGAGAGCAAATATCTTCATACCTGTATGAAGTTTTTCGAAGGTCATAGGTCATTACGTGACCTAATCACACAGCGCAGTAATATCTACATAAAACGACTTACTCTACTTAGCAATATATTGCATGTTTTTCATGCATAAAAATGTACAAAATACCCAAGTAAAATAATAATCATTTTATTAGTCCCCTACCGGTGAAACCGGAGGGGACTATAGGTTTTTAGTCCCCTACCGGTGAAACCGGAGGGGACTATAGGTTTCCTCTGAGTCTGTCCGTCCGTCTGTCTGTCTGTCTGTCAGTCTGTCCCTCTGTCAGTCTGTCCCACTTGGTTTTCCGCACTGTTTTCATAAACTCTTGCAGATATTGAGCTGATTTTTGGCACGTGAGTGTATCTTGATGAGTTATAGATCAAGTTTGCATTTCGTTCTGCTTCATCGATTTTTGACGGAATAACGGCCTTTTCAATTTTTAAGGGTTTTCCGCAATTTTCTTCTAAACGCTTTCAGATATTGAGCTGATATTTGGTATGTAACTTTACCTTGATAAGTTATAGATCAAGTTTGCATTTCGTCCCGCTTCATTGATTTTTGACGGAATTGTGGCATTTTCAATTCTTAACGGGAACCAGATTACACTTGCCGGTAGGGGACTAGTATTGCTAATGCAATACTCTCAGAATGCTTGTTTTACAATGTAAACGAGTAATTAATACAGTTCTTGATCGATTTTACATAGAGAATAGAAAACTACGTGTTATAAATTTCATGTTTGAGCTGCATAGTCTCAACGTTACCCTTATTATTAGTCCCCTACCGGTGAAACCGGAGGGGACTATAGGTTTCCTCTGAGTCTGTCCGTCCGTCTGTCTGTCTGTCCGTCTGTCCCTCTGTCTGACTGTCAGTCTGTCCCACTTCATTTTCCGCACTTTTTTCATAAACGCTTGCAGATATTGAGCTGATTTTTGATATGTGAGTATATCTTGATGAGTTATAGATCAAGTTTGCATTTCGTTCCGCTTTATTGATTTTTGACGGAATTACGGCCTTTTCAATTTTTAGGGGTTTTCCGCAATTTTCTTCTAAACGCTTTCAGATATTGAGCTGATCTTTGGTATGTGACTTAACCTTGATCAGTTATAGATTAAGTTTGCATTTCGTCCCGCTTCATTGATTTTAGTCGGAATTATGGCATTTTCAATTCCTAACGGGAACCAACGGGTTACACTTGCCGGTAGGGGACTAGTATTGCTAATGCAATACTCTCAGAATGCTTGTTTTTCTTGTAGACCTCTGAATACTATATTGTTTTTTCATTAAACTTTACTCACAATAAATTTGAAAATCTGTTGGAAAATATCAATGTAATGCAATCACGCCACAAACAGCTGACAAACACTGCACTTCGGTAGTTCGGTAGGCACACCTCCATCATCGAGATCGTTGTCTTAACAATGTAAGCTGTCGCCTGTGTCTCCGTGTCAACATCATAATAAATATGCCTTACTGAAATCGTAGATTTCATGTTTGTGATCAAACTTTAAACTTGATTTTAAGTTAATTGGTCCGGACAAGTGTCTCCATCAATCCCTTTCCGACCGAAATTCCTACAACTTTTTATTATCAAACATCGGACGTGTTTCTTGTGTTTTTTTTAACGTCGAATATGGGTTCTCACGAATACAAAAATTCACAGACACCAATATGCTCACTATAATTGATCACAAGTAGTCTTTCACAGAATATTCCCTTCAAAACAGAATCTTTTGCCAGATGAATTTGAAGCGTAACCGCTTTTCAAGCCGATTTACACCTTGCGTAATTTGTCAAAATCTACGACGAACACTTAGTGCAATATTTATATTCGATTATATTCGATTGTCCGTCTCAAATGTATATATAAGTAATAAATAACAAGTTTAAAAACTTCACTGGGAAATGAAGTGGGTCGGTACGTGATCAAATATTCCGAGAAGGCCTTCGGCCTTCACAGGATTTGATCACGTGACCGACCCACTTCACTTCCCAGAGTTTTTAAACTTGTTTTTTATTTCTTAATTG